AATATTTTGTATGCTTTGACCTGTAGGTGCTGGATGTTAGCAAGGAAGGAAAGGAAGAAGTATTCTATGGGCCTACACTCCCCTTCGCTTCCAATGGAATAGCAGCATGCTTTCTTCCAGCTCCTTATTTCACATGCCCCAACCTTCAGACTTTGCAAGTGCCTCACCACAGGATCGGAGCAATGTGAGACAAGGAATGTGCACTTCATAAAATCAGAAGTGGAGGGGAGGGAAAATCAAACCCTGTGTATAGAAGGGTTTCTCTGCATCAGAAGAATCAATCCACACGGGCTGCTGCTTTACCTTCACACATTTGTCTTAAAGTCGGATAACAGTAGGCAAGAAGGAAGATACAAAAACTGTCTGCAGTTTCTCTCCTTTGCCTCAGGTGTAGAAGCATTTACATGAGAGTATTGGGCATTTCTGCTGATGACTACTTGCTACCTGTCTCTACTTCATTTCCTTATGCAACTTCATAAGGCATTGTGAATACTCACAGCTCCTCCTGGGCTGCTCTTCTTTGGAGTCTGCACGCTCAGTTGTTCACTAATGGCACTTTCAAAGCTGATATAAAGCTCTGTTTATGTTGACAAAGATGATACAATACTGTGGTAATTATGCAACTTACTCGATACCTTTGGCAAAAAGAATAACAGATGTATTGACTTCCAATTCCAAACGCCATCGTTTACAGTTTCTCATTTAATAATACTTCATTTGACATTTAAATACTGCGAAGCAGATTAAAACAAAAATAAAAACCAAAATAGCTCTGTAGTAACTAAGGAACAGATAAAAATTGTCTTAGCTGAAAGACAAAGAGACACTGAAGCTTTTGGTTGAACCAAGTGTCAACCGAATGCGTTTGTTTGAGAATCTAAAGATCATTTGTGATGTCATTTACCAAGGTCTGCTATCAAATAAATGTTACCTTCTGTCATATGATCAATTTCTCCTGACAGCTGCAGTCTTTTAATGGTGGAGAACAGCCTCTTTACTGTATAATTAAAATGTGCCATTTACTTAATATTTTTAATATCCAGTTTGCAAGGGGTCACCACATTTACAATTATCAACGAACAGTCTCATTTTGTCCAACATATGGTCCCACAAATCACTGGTCTCCAGAGGCTAAACAGGTGTAGAACAATGTCAATATTTATTTATTTATTCTTTCAGTTTATATAGTGTGTCTCTGTTCCCTACTCCAGACATATGCCAGTTCACAATAAATACTCCAACCTGCTATATTTTGGCTTTGCTTGGCTACTGCAGCCCCTGTCTCTTGTTTCTGTGTTTTATTTACATATCTAGCAACTTTGATGTTTGTAAATATTAACTAAGCATGTAATTAAATCTCTATTTATGATTTATGGGTACTATGCACTTCTCTGCTTTATCTACTGATCCATTCCCTGCCACCGTGCTGCCTGAGCAAACCTATGAAATTCCTACAGACGCTCATGCAGATGCCATGTGCAGAATATGCTGCAGCAGTAGCCTGCACTTGCTGGACAGGAACAGGTTTGACTTTGCCCAGTGAGCAATGTTTTCAAATCAGATGCAGCTTTTAAGGGGCTGGTTAGTGATACAGGGAGGTGAACTTTATCACCATTTCTGCCTCCAGCTGGGCAGTGTACATGCAGAACATCACCTTTCCCAGTCATTTTCAGGTTAGAAAGTTCTGTGGGGTTTTGTGGCTGAGCTTTCTCTCAGTACATGGAGTGGAGCTGCAGCTCCACAGTGTTTGCCTGGCACACTGAGTGCTAACAGCATCTCCCTTCTGCCTACATCCAGGCAGTACTTCTCTCTGACTCCGTGGGAGCTGTTTAGAGTGTACCTCAGGACATTATGTTTGTCTTAGCTTCTTTGGTCTCCTGGACATCAGCATGCAAGGGCCAGCCCTCCTAGAGCTCAAAACTGCCTTGTGCCCTGTGTGGGCTTCAGGGCCCAAGTGTAGCAAGTATTCAAAGCTCTACCGATGTGTGACTTGCAGGGACACAAACATACCTCATTTTCAAGAGAAGAGTGACTAAAATAATCAAAAGATGTGTGTAGAGGTCCTTGGGGCTTTGAGCCTCCTCCTGGACGTAGCACATAAGGTAAGTGATGAGCTTTCACTCCAGTGCAGACCTCATATGCACTTCTTATTTTGCAGGTGGTGGGAGAATTATTTCTCAGCCTTTGCAAAGCCAAGCGCACTTCCAGACAATAGTGCAAAGTATGTTTTGTATTTCTCATCTTAGCCTCATAGCTTACCACAGCTGTAGCTATGGGATAATTTCTAAAGTGCTCCTTCTGAGGAGCAAGTGGAGAGATTCTGATGGACCTGGCTGACTACTGAGTGGCAGCAGCAAACTTTAACAGAGGCCTGGGTTTGAGAAGTGGAGGGGCAGATTCCTAGTGCATAGCAGCATGTGCCTCAGTACAAGGACTGAAAGGCAGGAGTGTATGGCAAGAAAGTTATTTATCATGTTTGTCCTGCCCTTTAGATGCTTTTAGTGTTCCAGTTATTACCCCCAATTGTCTGTACTGGTGAACAGCAGTTTTAAACAGCTGTGCAATTGCATTAAATTACTTAAGGGTACCACAGCCACAGAGCCTCGGGACAACACATATGCTCCTATTGGTGTCAGGATTCTGCTCTGGCTCTTAATCATCAGAGAGGTCTTTCACAGCAACCTCTTAGCCCATAAGTTTTTGGGTCTTTCTGCTTTTGCTGCAGGACCTACAGGACAGATGGGTTGCTTTGCTGCACCTGAAGCCAGAAAATGCCACATAGCCCTTGCCAGGCAAGCACAAACCGGTTAGTTATTGCCCGGTAATAAGAGAGACCAGTGTTGTGTGAGCAGAGCACACTGGTGCCAGCAGAGGCTCTGTTCTGGCTGCGGTGGGGGAGCAGGGCTAGCAGGAGTCCTCCAGGCAATGGCTTCCACAGAGCCTTAAAACTGCCCACATTATTTGCATGCTTGATGGTCCCATTACTGGAGCCTGATCAGCACAGCATGAGAGCAGCTGCAAACACAAGTCAGTCGCAAGGTAACAGCGCAGATTGCAACTGGTGAGAACTCGCTAGTGCTCCAGGAAAGAGGTATCCTAAGACGTGAATAACGCAACAGCAGGTACTAACTATGGCGTTTGGGGGCCAGTGCAGTTCTGTGCTCTGGATTTCTTATATTTACAGATTAAAGCTACTTATACCTGCAAGTTGGCTTTTGGGCCACAAAGTCTTGAGAGCTGTGCTGTGAGCTCCTGTTTTGGGCTATTTCCAGAAAGAGTGGTATTTTATCCCTTATATAGCATACTTCACCTTTAAGTCCTAAGATGTGTTATCAGCTCCTTTCAGCTATAAATGACCACAATGGCAATCAGCTGCTTTGTGCATTTTATCCAAAAAGGACACAATTGCCAGAAGCAGCAGCACTGACAGCCTCTTCTGCCCCTTTCGTCTCTATTGAGCAATTCACACCCAAATGCTGACCAAAGAAATACTTTTTATGTGTTATGAGCCAGTGTGCTTCTGCACGCTAGTGGTTTTGTAATCCTTGCATTTCCAGGGGAGGTGTATGTTTGTCTTAGCTTTCAGGGAAACTACCTGGCTCTCAGAAGAGTTCAAACTTTTGTAACTCTTTTTCCTCTAAGTAAGTTTTGCCTTCTCCGGTTACCCTCCCCAAAACCTGTACAGACATTTAGTACATCAGTTGCAGAATCATGGAGAAATAGATAATTGAATATTCACACATGCAGAAACAACACAGGCAGAATGTGGAACAATGTGGAAACAAGCGTGAAAAGAGGCGGCATCTGTTTATTGAAAATTAGAATGTGGAATATAGGCAAGGTTAAAACACTTCCTCTGCAGGCAGAGCTTGTAGAGGAGGAAGACTTTGCAGGAAGTTTAGCACATAGACTATATAAAGGGTTTACTTATCCAGTTTTATTTTTGCAAAATGGGCTGCTATTTTCTCTTTCCCAAGGATGCATCTTAAAGGGATAAAAACTGTCCACATGAAGAATGGTTTTCCAATGGAGATGATTATAGATAGCTGTTCCACAGTAATGCCAGAATTAAAATGCTTAAAATGTTAACTCTTTCTTACTGTGGATAGATTAGGTGATGTTGCAGTGCTTCCAAATACTGAAGAACAGAGTATGTTTAGCAATACCCTCAATCCATGTAAGTATGGCCAAGTGAAGGCCATGCTGATTTTTCTACCTGTGCTCAGACAGGTCATGCCCTTTCTAAAATGAATAATGAATTTAGCAAACTTACATTTTTAATGCTGGTTTGGGTGGTGGTGTACGGGCAGGAGAGAGGAGCCAAGGCAGTGTCTGATGGACTGAAAAATGCAGGGAATGTGCTTGTGAGGTGGAATTACTCTGCTGGCATTTCCCAAGGCCTGCAATGATACCCCAGATCTATGATTACAGGATCTGGGGTTTTAATTTTAATGATTTCTTTTTGTGCTATACATACCTCCACATTTCATACATGAAGTCTACAAAAGGTTTACCATTTTAAAGCTGCTGAAGTAGACAAAAGCCATATCCTAGTCATTCATCACAAAACAAGCTTAATTATGCTAGGACATTTTGACACTGCATCAGATTTTTAATCTTCACCATCATTTTATAACCATTGCTAACAGATGGGCTGATTACACTGAATTTGAGGTTGAAGTAATAGTTAAAAATTATAAAATATGATTACAGTAGAAATACCCATGCATACATAATTTTCAAAAGCTACTGAAAGGAGGAAAACCGGAGTGCAATAAAACCTCTTTTCTGTTTCCTGAGGGAAATACACTGCTTTTAGGTGGACAGTTATCAGAGTTCCTTAAATGACTATAAGTAGCATATGCTATTGGCAGCTCCTCTTCTGTGCAATTACAACAGATATGCAGAACCTTATTCTTTCCATAGGTCTGCTCCTCTATTCCAGCATAAAAGGCATAATTTTTTCTATCTCAGAAGCTTTTTTATTGAAACATACCTCCCTCCCCCCCCCTTTTTTTTTTTGTCATTGCAAATGAAAGCAAGGAGTAATTTAAATTACCATGTTCCTGCTCTTTAATAAGAAATGGGAAATTCTTATAAAATAGAGGGGCAGCTCTACAGGACTAATGGAAGTTGCATGTGAATGTTGAACAGAAGGTGTCTTTTTTTCAGTCATCATTTTAAGGTTACTAAAGGAAAGATAAGCCAGACTTCCCTCACCCTGCTATTGCTCCTGATGCACTGGACATCTGTTTCACATCCCAAGGATGATAACGGGCGCCAGAGGTGAGCATTATCCTGAATTCTGGAATAAGGACAATATAAAAATGAAATACTTTTTACTCAGCTTTTACTTCTATGTATTGCAAAAAGGAAAGGGCAGAGTAGTCCTCTTACACCCTGGAACAGTCCCCTGGCCGGTGCCATCAGCACAGACAAATGCTGACAAAGCTCAGGCCTGCCTGGTGCACTTTAAACAGGTCTCCTGTCAACATTATTAATGTTTCTAAATGAAAGGAGGTGTCGTGGTTTAAACCCAGTCAGGTAATTCGTTCGCTCACTTCCCCCCCTTTTCTTGCCCTCCCCCTGCTCTCGGAGGGACGGAGAGGAGAATCGAAAAGAATGCAACTCCCACGGGTTGAGATAAGAACAGTTTAGTAACTAAGGTATAACACAAATCACTACTGCTACCACCAATGATAATAATGATACAGGAAATAACAAGGGAAGAGAATACATCATCTCACCACCAGCCGACCGATAACTCGCCCCCCCAGCCCGACCAAGCTCTGACCGATACCTCCTCCAACCCTGCAGTCCCCCAGCCCTTCCGGCTAACTCCCAGTTACCTCCTCGGCATGACGTGCTGTGGTATGGAATACCTCTTTGGTCAGTTTGGGTCAGGTGTCCTGTCTCTGCTTCCTCCCGGCTTCCCCTCCTCCCTGGCAGAGCATGAGGCTCACAAAGTCCTTGGCCAAACCAAAACATCGCTTGTTATCAGCTCCGTTCCCGAGCTGAAAGTCAAAACATTGCACTGCACCAGCTACCAAGAAGGGGAAAAATGACTGCTACTGCTGAACCCAGGACATTATCCACCCCTTATTCCATACCATTCACGTCATGCTCAGATCCCACATTTTCAATATACCATCACTCTTATCTCAGTGAACTCTTATCTTAGTGCATGGACCAGTCCCTATAAAGCTGCTGAGTCCATCTGGTCCATGATGTCAGGCTCCATCTCTTGTAACAGTCTTCCAGAGCAGGAGAGACTGTGTGCAGTGTTCACACTTGTGAATAACCTGGGCAATAGTGTCCATTGCTAAGTCCACCCCTCGATCATGAGTCCATCTCTATGTTGCATCTCTGCTCTGATGGCCTGAAGTGCCATGGGCCCACCAGGCTTAAAATAATTCACTGTCCCCTTCAGCAGTTTCTGCAGCTTGTTGCTGGGGACTCCACACAGCTGCCTTCCATCTCCGACGCTTCCAAAGCACTGGAGGGGCCCAGTGGACTAGATACTTGCCCATACTGTCCCACACACCCTGACACTCCTGGCTGTCCAGCTTTGGGGAAAACCTCTCGGTCCCCCTATATTGTCGTCTAACCCCAGACAAGACCCAAACCTGACTCTGCTTAACTTTTGAGATCAGACAAAATGGTGGTGGGTAGAACACAGTCTGTGTGTGTGCCAACATGCTGATCCCCATCACAATCAGCAGGCAGGTCCCAAGGACACCCAAAGGCCATTCAAAACCTTCAGAACTCTCACACGATGCTGCTGTACTTGTCACCGGGGCTGGTGCAGCTGCTGTGCTTGCCGGCTCTCCCACCGCCAGCTTCTCTTTTCCCGAGTCCAGCTCTTCCTCCTCTGCCTTGCTGGGAAATGCTGCGTGGTCTCCTGCATCCTCCTGGGGCTCGGCGGGCGGCTTCCGGGAAACGCTCTCGGCCGTCGCGGGGCGGGGGTCCTCCGCGGGGCTCGGCTCCTCCGCGGGGCTCGGCTCCTCCGCCGCCTTCTCCCGCTGCTCGGCAGCCCCTTCTTTCTGCTCCTCGACCGCCCCGACCTCCTCCACCGGCAGCCGTCCCCTCGCAGCCTCCGGCCCCGCTCCCGCCGCCGCTTGGTCGCCGGGGCCGCTTTCCCGGGCCCGTTCGGCTGCCGCCGGCTCCCGGGGCCGCTCCCCCTCAGCTCCCCGCAGCCTCACGAAGATGGAGAGTAGGGTGAGGGCCAGGACGGTGAAGAGCAGCCGGACGGCCAGGTACAAGTCCACGGCCACGTCCGTCCCCCCCTGCTGCTGGAGCCCGCCCGTATTACAAGCCATTGCCATAAAGCACAGTGAGACAAGAACCTTAGCCCAGGCCCCATACTTGATAAACACTATCACAGCAAATACCGGCTCTACGTAAGTTACAACATTCTGAAGCTGTGAGATCAAGCGAAACAACTCTGAGAGCCAATAAATCAGCATTGTGACGAGTGACTATTAATCCAGTCAGATCTGTCGTTATCTCAACCCTTCGTGCCCCACGTTGGGCGCCAAAAAGAACTGTCGTGGTTTAAACCCAGTCAGGTAATTCGTTCGCTCACTTCCCCCCCTTTTCTTGCCCTCCCCCTGCTCTCGGAGGGACGGAGAGGAGAATCGAAAAGAATGCAACTCCCACGGGTTGAGATAAGAACAGTTTAGTAACTAAGGTATAACACAAATCACTACTGCTACCACCAATGATAATAATGATACAGGAAATAACAAGGGAAGAGAATACATCATCTCACCACCAGCCGACCGATAACTCGCCCCCCCAGCCCGACCAAGCTCTGACCGATACCTCCTCCAACCCTGCAGTCCCCCAGCCCTTCCGGCTAACTCCCAGTTACCTCCTCGGCATGACGTGCTGTGGTATGGAATACCTCTTTGGTCAGTTTGGGTCAGGTGTCCTGTCTCTGCTTCCTCCCGGCTTCCCCTCCTCCCTGGCAGAGCATGAGGCTCACAAAGTCCTTGGCCAAACCAAAACATCGCTTGTTATCAGCTCCGTTCCCGAGCTGAAAGTCAAAACATTGCACTGCACCAGCTACCAAGAAGGGGAAAAATGACTGCTACTGCTGAACCCAGGACAGGAGGTAATGGGCACAGACCATGCACCAGGCTTGAGGGAAGAAAAAGCTTAATGAAATGTAATAACTTGTTAAAACTCCATTGATGTACAGTGATCCTGTAGTTAATTAATGTTCAGAATGGCTTAATGCCACCAATTCTTTGTTTATAAGAAGGGGAGCAGGGCTAAGCCCAGGTGTACGTGTTGAGGTTTCTCTCGATTTCATCAGGTAATTTGTTTTCAGGATCTTTTCACCTTCAATTACAGCAGTTATAACTGCAGTAAACGTCTGACCTGGCAAATATCCCTCTATTGTTGTAAAATTGTAATGCAGATGCTGGGTGAAAGAAGGGAATGCATGTGCCTTCCCAAGACGTTATGCAGGCTGAGTTGCTTGCAAGAGTCTCTGATCCCTAACAAATGCACAGTCCTCACCCATTTGCTGCAAGCCCCTGCAGTAAGGGTTGGTGTGCCCCTGGAATCACAGCCATCACAAGCAAAGAGGAACACCGCTGCTGCTCAGGGGCGGTGACATCCCAACAGCAGTTTCTGTTGTCTTCACTGCAGTCAGTAACAGAGCTCATATTAATAACCAGTCTTAGTAGTTATGGAGTAAAGCTTAGTACACATTTCCAGGAAAGTGATCTAGGGACATACCTTCCTCATCTTTTGGAAATCATCACAGATCTGAGGCATGATCCTTTTCCTGTAATTGACAATCTCGTCCCAGACTCATGGAAGCTTTGCTTAACAGCTTTGCTGTGATACTCACCTCGGTAAAGTGGCAAACAGGCAACTCATCTATATTACTTAGGGCAGAGCAGATCATCCTGCAAATGGGTCGGCAGAGAAAGCCATCTGCCCAGCACTAGTGGAAGCTTTTGGTAACTCATGGCCTCTTGCTTCTGAGATACAAAGGTGCCCAAACCCATAAACCAGTCAAGGCAGTGACACAACTTCACTGTGTGGTCTGCCGAAAATTTCTGTCCTGATGCTCCCTGGATTTCTCCCTATACAACCTTGAAAGCAGATGTCTGAAACTGCCAATCCCCACACCCACTGTGCAGAGGTGACTATCTCTCAGTGAGCCTCCGAGATGGGTATATGACTTCCTGGCAATACCAGAGCCATCTCACGATTCTGGTTCAATGTTAAAATGCCTACAATCCACCTATACACACACCGTCAGGAAAACGACTCTGAAACAGAGAGTATTAAGTAAGTTTAACATCAGGGAATTGCTCAAACTTCTTGCTGGCTGCTGTCCAAAGTCACTGCACACTTAACTATCTGCTGAATAACCCCTAACGTGATGCTTTCAGCTGCCCAGGAGCCAAGTTTCATGCCACCATGCTGTTGATACCTGAGAGAATTAACAGCAGAGTTGCTTCTTTCAGACGTCTCCTGGTCTGCCTACAGGGTCCTGTACAATGTCCTGTGCCGAGTATCACAGTACACCCCACAATATCAGCCTTGTCTTATAAACACCTATTAAACACATCATTAAATATTCTGTTATAATATCTGCTCTATCTGTTAAAAGTCACAAGTTTTACTTTCGGGAAGTAATACTAAAGTCAGGCATCTGTTCTGTATTCTACAGTGCAGTGGGACTCGAATTTTGAGGACATCTCTCTGTATTAATCTTTCTTGCAGAGGTTTTTATTTTTTTAATTTACTTTTTTCTTTTAAAAAAAAAAAGCATCTTTTTAGAAGCACAATCCTCCTGAGATGAAAAAAACTCCTCCCAGGTACAGCAGCTCACAAGCAGCTACAATGCAAGTTCAGTAAGTCACTTTCATAATGAAAAGAACGTCCATGTTCTGCACTATTAAGTAGCCTAAGGAGGCTTTTAGTTACTGCATTATCTGAAGTAACAATAGCCAATTTAGGCGAAAAGATTATCTAGTTCAACTTGATAAGATTACTGTACCGAAAGAGAAGCCGCAGAGAATTTTTTGTGGAGCTATTAAGACACAAAAAGAATCTTTACTTGCCATTAATATTGTAAAGTTGAAATTTGAGTTACTAAAAACACCAGGCAGCCTGCTCACCAGTTGTTGCACTTTAAGGGCAAACTTACCATTCCCAAAGTCCAGTAAGTAGTTTCAGAAATACAGGTTATTGAACAGAAGTGAAAAACCCAAATACCACAGCCATTAATGAAAGTTTCCTGAGAACTTCAAGGGGAAAAACACCATATGTTACAGGGCTAGAGCTGTCCCAAAAGATAATCCATAACACAGAAAATATCTGAAAGATGCAACTTTCCAGGCAAACAGGAATCATTACAAGCTTACAATCAAATGGAATAAATTTCCCAAATGAGTTGTTTTCTTTGGACGTCTGTCCTCGATTCTTTTTTCTCACACCACTTACTTAGGGTAGGTGTAAGTTAAATGGATAACTAGCAATGTCATGACTAATAAAAAGATTGTGGGATCACTAGAAATTATAAGTTTAAGAACACAGTATTGAAGAGGAAGAGAACGGGAAATCTGAACCTACCTTTTCTTACATTAACCCACACGGACAACAGAAGAGATTTTACACTGGAATCTGAAAGACTTTAATGTTTTAATACAGGTGGAAGCATAAGACAGCTATATACATTTTGTGCAACATATACACAAGCCTTCTCTTAACAAACAACAGCTCTATCATACTGGTGCAACTCCAGGTGAATGTACTGCATTCCACAAGTTCAGTACTAGAGACCACTGTTGTTTCTCATTCTACTAAAATAATAAATTAGAAATTACAAATTTATGATTTCTTTAAGAACATACTGAATCAGATTTTCAAAAGTACAGTTTCAAGAGGGTCAGGTCACACTCAATGTGAATTGAGTTGTGAAAATACTTTGATTCTCATGTGTTGCAATACAGGCTCTGCTTATATAGACATTTTAACATGTAATAAATTTCCTGTATCTTTCAATTACCACTCAATAGTATATTGAGAGTTCCTCTTCAGATGCATGACAACATTCAAATAACACTAAAATTATGAAAATTAATACATAACCTGGGAGGGAAAACCAACAGAATTGATAAATATGTTGCCATTGTAACGATAAAGGACTTGGCTAGTGTGTCATAGAGTGTAGTTTTAGGTATTGACAGCGTCAGAACGTTGAAGAGGAAAGGATTAGTCACCAGCACACTGCTAACTTGTATCATCATCTAGTTTTTGTATCTCATTTTGTCCAGCCTCTGTGAGGTAAGATAAGAGTCTCTTATAGGCTTCTCTGTTGAAAAAAAAAAAAAAGAAACCAAAAGAAGGCAACATGTTATTTAAAGAATCTCGCACATCCTAGGAGTAAAAGCACATAACTCACAAAGGCATTATTTACATACTGGGATATTAAAACACAGTAACCCCCCCCCCCCCCCCCCCCCCCCCCCCCCCCCATCTGTTCAACTACTTGTTTTGCTGTAAATTTTCAGCATTACCAGGTGGGAATAAGAGTAAGGCTTGCATTGTTTATGGCTAGAAGTGTAGTGAAGATGCTCAGAAGTCTACTTGCTTTGCAAACTGCTGTGAAATAGAACTTTTTTATTTTAGAACATTGAGTTTGCAAATAAGTCCTAGATGAGATGATTAGCATTTAGACTTCATCACATTTGCTATTTAACTTCTGTATGAGAAATAGCTCTGTGACTGATGCTACCGCGCAGTGATGTGAGCTGCTGGCATTAGGGCCGCAGACTGGCACTGGCACGGATTTAGATCATCCTTCCCAACAAAGGGCAAGGACTATTTTAAGATAAGCCTGGAATTCAGAAAGGGACTGTCGCTCAAGTAGATTTTCCAGAAGAGTGCACATGTATTGACAAGGCTTTTCACCTTCAGTTCATTCTAATACTCTCCAACCTAGACAATATAATTATTGTTATAGTACTACCTCTGCCATTTAGGTCTATTCTAATTATCTATCTATGGCATGAAACATTAACTTGAGCAAACAAAACTGTAGTTTTCATACTAGCTCCTTGCAGTAATAACACTGGACATCACTGCTATAAGCAACTAATACAACTTCTGAACTTTTTTTCTTTCATATATACACACACACACACATATATATATAAATGCAGGTAGTATGAAAATCCTGCACATAATGGTACTGTAGTTTGACCTTGGGTGAATTCCCTTAAATAACAGCAAACGTATTTCTTGGTGGAGGATAATAAAAAGTGAATAATGTGGTTACAACTGATTTAAATATATTTTTCATTAAATGGAAAACCCTGTGACTACCCTTTACTGTCTCATGAGTTGCATTCTTGCACAACTCTGTCTTTTGGGATTTGTATAACCTGGGCCCTGCCAACATACACCTCAAAACTTCTCCAGCCTGACGTGGGACTAGGATCTACCCTTTGAGAAGTCCCAGTGTGTGCATCACCTCATGTGCCATTTCCTCCTAATGCTACGCGGATTCACAAGTCAAATAGTCCTGTCCTAAGTTCTAGGAAGGCAAACAGAGGAAGTGTGAGCCTGCTGTGCCAGTTGGTGAGAGAAGGCCAGCCTTTCCTGGATGCCCACAATTCTTTTATGTTTGTAGTATGACAGAACTCTTGAAATCAAGCTATGCATATTTCTTTTCCAAACATCTCAGATCCTACCTGATTATACTGCAATTTTACATAAGAACCATAAAGTTCTCCAAAACAGGGACTGAAAGGAAAATTCCTTGGGGCAGGAATTCTTTTTTAGTCTGCTTTGCAACACACAGTACAGTAAGCAGTGGCAACCTGGCTTCCCATAAATTCTACTGGTCTTGTATCAGAACATCACTGAAAATACTTAGCATACAGATGGCTTAAAATCATGAAAGGCCTGAGTGAAGGGAGATCTCTGGCTAAATACACTTGAAAATCATTTTGGAGTATCTGTGCAGCTGTCTAACACTGCTTTCTTTCAAGAGAATAAACCTCTGCTGCTCATTGTCAAAGAACAATAACAAAAATCAAACCTCTGTGCAGTATTTCTTCCAAGACCTTGTTTGTGCTCTGAATCCTTCAGAGACTGTGTGATTGTGGGAGTCAGGCTGGTAACTAATGTCTGATCCAAGACTGCCACTGTTTCTAGTATGCTGAAAACCCGGTGATCATACACAGCAGTATAGTCCTGGATAAACTGCCTGAGGGGGACACAGAGGCATTTAATGCGAGGTCAAAACGAGATGCAGAGAACATGCCAAGAACAACTGAAGACTTTAATCAGAACAAGCAATCTGGCTGTGTGGCAATTTTCATATTGTTACACTGAAATACTCTACATGGAATACTTTCTTTAAACAAACCCATGCTTTTGAAGGCTAATACTAAAACCCCCACACATTTATTTTCAAGCAAATTGGCAGACTCTGCTACTGTTACTCCAGGGCTGCCTTGTTCCAGAGCACTTCACTTTGCAATGTGTCTGAATGCAAAACTAAGACACGTATCATTTAATAAAAAATAATAATTTAAAAAGTAAAAGACCAACAAAACAAGAGATCTAGATTCAAGTCTGAGGAAATAATGCTGGCATTTCTTATATACCTCCACTGAATCTTACTCAGGGAACACCACTGAAGGGATGGAAGTGCACCCATTTGTCTCCTAAGGGTCTGAGGTTTTTAAAGATCACAGCTTACATTAAAATCAGAACACAGACCCTAAGGATGACACATCCCATGAAAGTAAGTGATACATCCTGTGCAGACTGGCATGCCCACAAAAAGCCATTCCTCTTTCAGTGAGTCCCTCTGGAGCTTTCATCTAGCTATGACCCGATATAGCACCAGTGTTTGAGTTTGCTCAATGTTTTTTGGACTGAGTCTGAAATTCTCTGCTTTATCCATGTGAGAAACAGGATTTATTTTGCAGAGGTAAGGAATAAGTACAATTTACATGATAATAATCTCTTATTTATTGGTCACAAAATCAAATAATAAAAATTTAAAACAAAAGCTAAGCTTAATATACAAGGATTTAATCTCCATTATATGCACTTCAAATCAGGCATGCACATCTTTCACAGTACCTAACACTGATCATCAGCATTCAGGAAGAGATTTTCCCATTGCAGCAGCACCACATCTCTACTACATACCCTTCAACACAGTACCTGATCCACGAGAAAGCAGGTACCTTTCTCTCTTTTACTTTTTTGCTCTGGCTTTTTGGCCAAGCTGTGTTTAAAACCAGTGCCAAAAGTAATGTTATTTAAATACCACCACCAAGTGACAATGCAGTATGTTGAGGATAATTAGCTATTTTAAAAAACATGTTTGCTGTCAATTGGCTTGCAGGAGTTTCACTGCCAATTGGCATATTTTCTGGTTACCTAAATACAGAAGTCAGCTGGGTGGCATGCTCTCCTCCTGACCCTGCTTGGCAGCCTTCTACCATGTACTGTACAATGTCAGTAGATAGTTTTTTAACTGTAAAAGAAAAATCACAAGATTCACACAGAGCTCTTGAACTGACCATCTGGAGAATGTCTTTCATGAAGACTAACATTTCTAAATCAGAGGAAAAGAATGGGCTTTATCTTACTTTGATGCAAGGGAAATGACTGTGAGAGCAGTTAGTTAGATTGGCTATAAAGAACAGAATGAATCACAGATTTACGCAAAAGTCTTGTTTTCACCACCATTATCCTTTAAACATACAGATTTTTTAGTACACTATGGCCTCTTTAAGTGAAAGCAAAGAGATACCACTTAGTGGCAATAGAGATTTTATTTAAATTTCAGTTCTGTTTGTATTCTTTAATCATTTCTATTTGAATGAAAGAAAAGCAGTTGTGGCATTATATCCTGCCCAAAGCTGTAGAGACCTACTCTTTACTTTCAATGGTGGGTTGTCCTGAAATCCACCCTACCTTTTTTGGGGCTGGGGGGGGGGGGGGGGGGGGGGAAAGAAACCCCCTAAAACTCCACTATTTTCTTCCCCTTTAATTGTTTCCAAATAATTATTTAAGTTGCAAGATGCAGCCCTTCCTTTGGAACTGAATGGCAAGGATGTTTCTACAAGGGTGCAGGGGAGCCCTGCCCAGGCAGGCAACGAGCTGGTGGCTGCAGCTGCACACCACATTCAGCTTATTCTGCTCCACAGCACGTTGCAAAGAAGGTACTCTTGCAGCTTCAGGCAGATAGGGCTGTGATGGCAAAAGGGGGAAGAAAGGTGTGTGATGATTCAGTCAATTTCCTAAGCATATCTTGCCCTTGAAACTTTCACAGATGAGAATCAAAAAGTACTTTATTAGATAAAATTCCCAGGAGAAGTCATAGGTGAATCCCCATTTTGCTTAATGCCTCTGCTGGCAGCAAGAAGCGGAAATTCTGAGCTTATGCACACATACACATCCATTATACAACTGCGGGGTGAACAGAGTGCTGCATTTTTAGGAACTAAAAATAAAGAAGATCTCACTACCAAACAAAGCATGCTAAAAGAAGAAAGAAGATTCAAAGATGCCTTCAGAGAGCAACAAGCTACTTATAATCCATTTATGATGCCTCTATGGGGAGAACATATGCTAGTCTTATTTGGTCTCAAACCTTTAGGTGTCATAAAATTTCCATGGTTACTAAGTCTGGAAGAAATGAGATGGGAAGTACAGGAAGAATGGAAATGCTCTTCAGACTCCTCACAAATTGATCATTAGAGGGCAAAAAGAGGTAGGATTTCTCTGCCTCTTGGAGACAGGCATCCCAGCTAACGAAAAAACAAAGCCTGTCCAGTTTATCTGGCCAAAGTATCCCATTCACATCATCTAAGAGTCTTAAATATTGGTATGAAAGATGCTCTGCAGTTCAAGAATCTTACAGGTGTGCAGGAATGTATTTAAAGCAAACAAGCAGCTCACCTTGTAGCTCATTAACCAGCACCAAGCATTTCAACACAGCCGGGAGAACTAAGTCAATGTCACATAGCTCAATGCTCTGGGTTCTCTTAAGTACATCAAGAATGAAAGCAAGAACTGAGGCCAAGCGTGGAGGTGGAGCGTTGCCTTTGAACTGCAAGCAGTTTTCACTGGGAAGACAAAGAAAACCAGAACAAAGTCTATAATTTGTTATTTCCATTCAATGCAAGCACCAATACCTTACAATAACTGGGATATTTCAGCAGGAGGCTTATTACGTAGATTTCTATCTTTATCTAAGCCCAAATAATGGCTTCTTTGTCTTAGTCTTAGCAATAACTCCCAATATATCAGAGGACAGCGATGCCTTCTGACTTCCATGGAGAGGGAAGTAAGAAATAACAGCTATCAGTTATACTTAAAAAGCTAAGTTTGACTGCAAAAGTTAAAATAGAAAAGCTTCATAGAATAATTGAGTAAAGGGAGGAATCAAGATTCTAATACCCTAAAATGACATCCAAAATACAACTGTTGTTCAACTACTTTATTTAGTTTTATGTGCTTTTGTCAACTCACAACCCAACTTGTGGTAACAGCTCTGCTGTTATACTGGTACTGTTATTTTATTTTTGTCAACAGTATGTTGTAACAGGAAAGCCAATGTTTGCTTTTGCTCCTCCAGAATTAACACAGTCATCTCCGGTATAAAATTTGTCCCAAATATTAAAAGGTGACCTGTTAACCTGCAAGAAAAGCAAATTTTGACTTCATGCATAGCAAGTGTTCCAATTTGAACAGCTTGATTTGATATTTTTCTGCAAGAGAATACAAGAATCTGAACTACTGTTGATTTCACACTACAAACTACTGAAATCTGAAGACAGTAAGTTTAAATTGAAGCATTTAGGAGAGAAGAACGCATGTAAAAAGAACATGGCATTTATGCATCAGTTAGCAAGAGTACTCCCAGAACCTTGAAAAAACCTTTTCAGATACTGAATATTAGGTACTACCAATACTCAAGCAAGGCATGCATGTTTACCGAGCAATGCATCAAAAACCACCATCCTTGTTAAAAGTGAGGAGTGCTTCTAGGACTTTCAAAAGAAACCTGACTTTCAGGGTTCTGAGTATTTCATTGCACAGCTTCAGAGCACTGGTATAACTTGGCAAATGAAGGTTGTAACACTCCTATATTTTTATATATGGCTAGTGAACTCTGTATGTATTTACATATAGACCTAGTGGCTGCCTCCTGGCCACCCAATAGTTTGTAAATCAGACTGCTGCTCAGTTCTAAGATTCTCCCCAGATCACTAAGGAACATTTAATGTCTTACCAAGTGCCATTTAATGTTACCAAGTGCCATTACAGTTTCAGAACTTTCTTTCCACTCTCAACCCACACATGCATGCACACATTCAAACCAAGTTTATTAAGATGATGAAGTTTGAGTGTTCATAACTTAAAACACATCAGAACTAAGACTGCAAAATCTAAATTCATTCCCATAATAAGTGATAATACAGGCTTTATTTACAGGATTCCTTATCATATTTGCCTAAGATCAACACTGAAATTCTTTTAATCAATATGTATACAGACTCTTTGACAAACAAAAATACAATTACCATGGATAAAAGCAGTAACCGTATATTTGAAGGGGTTTAACTCCTCTCCCAACATAGACAAAAAGTACAGCTTGCTCCCTATTCTGCATTATATAAAACAAAGCTTTAGCCTTTCAGCAGCCTGGAATCAGCATTTAGAGCTGCTGTTGACATCGTGCGAGTAGTGACAGCACAGTGGACAAGTACTGTCTCCCTGCCTTTACATCTTCCTCTTCATTCCCACACACCAAATTCTGCATTTCTCTTTTCCAACTGTAAGCACTGCAACCCTGTGACATTAAATACAGCCTGAGACACAAATATATGATGATGTATATTGCAGTGTAACTTTTCTAGAAAAATACTTGCTTTCCATGTGATCCCATGTGACATTTTTTCTTTTAGTCCAGGATCTTTACCCTCAATGGCACTCTCCATTGGTCACCAGATCTTCCCACTTTTACTCTCCTGATGCATACATGTTGTCTTTCCTTTGCTCCCTACCCAGCAACTTGGAAGCCTTTCCCACAGCCAAACTATCAGTTAACTGAGAAGAAAACAGTGGCATTCCCTTTCCCCTCAGCTATTTGTGAGATCTGAATAAGTGATGTTTTTTTACTTCAGTGGTCCTTACTTTATGACATGCAGAGTGGTCTTCCGTAGACGGAGCATCTGGGCAGCTGTAAGGGAACTGCATAAAGCAGTCAGCATTGGATGCTGGTTGGCTCCAAACACAGACGGAGAGGAAGGGAGAAATCGTCCAAAATAATGCTGAATAATGCTCCCAAGCAGTTGATTTAAATAGGCACCCTGTGTTTGGGACTGGCAGCATATAAAAGACAGACCCTGTAGAGGAAAATGTCAGAAAATGAGAAATAAATTTTTGACAATACTTTTGAATAAATCTTTATTTAACAACAGAAGTTGTTAAAGTTAGGTAAATACACACGCTGTAAACTGCTGCACAAACACAAACAAGCATCAGTAATTTGCTGCAGATATGATAGTCCACATAGGAAGAGAGAGCCAGGGCAAGACTTGCAAAGAAAACAAAATCTTGTACTAGATCAATTAATACATTGAAAGAAAAGCTCTGGGACACGCAAGCTCCCCTTCAAATTTGAAATAAAACCTTGACATTTCAGACCTGAGAAACCACCCCTGTGCCCAAGAGCTCCTAATTTCTTTTTCAACCCTGTACGTGGTCTAAGAAAGTACATTAGTCAGGTAAGATTTATGAAGGGAGAGAGAGAGAATACCTCATCTGTTTGTAAAGCACTATGTGAAATTTTTGCAGGAATGACATAGCAGAAAAATAAGCACTTAGAATCGTGGTCTGACAAGAAAAATCTTGCTCATAGCATGAACAAATTAGAGTAAATTAGGCACCATTTATAAAGGATTTAGAGTTTTTTTTTTTATATCTGTTTAAGACAGGGCTAAATTTGCTGTCATTTATTCAATATAAGCTATATTGATCCAAAGAGAAATCTATAATGAAAGTGCTTGCCCAGAAAGTGCCTAGCTGAACACTACCTGTAGTTATACCACATACACATGGTACACCTCTGAAAAAAGAGTATTCTTGTTACTGGTACAAGCTGCTGTGAAAGTTAAGAGTTTCCTTCCCTTCCTTTGATTGCTGAAAGGAAGAAGAACAAATCACTAAGAAAAAATAAAAACCTGCAGTGATCTCCTATCAGAAGGGTCACTGTCAGCGGCACAAACAGAAGCCTCTTGAGAATTCAGTTTCCACAGTAGTTTTGTCCAACAAGAATAATGGCATAAAAGAAGTTCAAGCATAGAGTTCCCTAGGCGGCAACTTCAACAGTACTTCAAACTCCCACTAGCACTGCAATTCAGACTCCAGTTGTGGTAGGAGGAGTACCTGCCTGAATATTGGTGCTTGCTGAGGTAAGCTAACTCCCCTAATGAAGGAATGAATAGCTCACGACAAGCTGTAATACAAGCAGTATTTCTGTAGCTTTTCACGTGGGACTCCCTCCCCAAAAACATTTTCATTTACACTTATCTGCATGAACATGACAGAATAATTCTTTCAGAAAAAAAAGCAGGCTGAGACATAGCTAAGGGTGTTCTTGGCACTTCCTTGAAATGGGCAGTTCCCACTTTTGGTTCTACAGTAAACGAACACAGGAAATATGAGCTTTCAAGGAATGAGGTGCTTCAGGACGTGCCTGAAGACTTGCTATAGGCGCCCCTCTTGAATATGGACATGTCTGGTTAGGGTTTAACTTCCCATAATTTTAGAGCTCCCGAGTAATTTTGCTGAGTCCCAACGATAAAAGCCACACTTCCTGAACTGGGCCTTTGATCAACAGTTCAGGTTCTCTTCTCCTTTTGTGTACATGCGGCAAAATTTTGTAGGGAAAAGCAGCTGCTACTATATCAGATTTCTTAAAAACACTGCTTGGCAAGCAGGCCCAGACCATTAGAGATGACAGATTATTTAGTATGTAAAGCTGAGTGTTTGGTGTTTTCAGTAAGATGTTGCAGCAGGCACGAAGAAGAGTTGCTGCCTGTGCTTTCTACAGTACAGCACTTCGAAAAAGACAGAAAATATTCCACTGCCCCAAAATCAGAACTGGCACTCTTTAGACTGAGTTAATCTGTGAGAAAGAGTATGAATCTATCTGATAAAAGGGACACAAAGAACATCACAACCTGACAGCAGACACCTGTAGGAATACATGAAGAACATTAACACCTATGAAGAACTAACAATAATTACTGAGACAGTTCTTCAATTTGAGGATCAACAAATGCCACACAGTGTCAAGAAAAGAGGGAAGAAATCAGTTATTATTAAATAATAAGAGTTACTATTTTTAAGAAATGATCCAAATTATCCTTAAAAGGTTCAATAAATAGCAAAAAATATTAGAGTTTAGGTTATCTGAAGGAACACTGAATAATTTTTGCAGATCTTCCAATAGTTTCAATTGAAGATGGAGCAACAAACCTAGCCCGACCCTTTGTAAAAGCATTTTCATTTTCCGAGTTGAAGTAAACTGATTCTAATTTCTGGGGGCAGGGGATTGGCAGAGATGTAATATGAAAAAGAAGGAAATGATTAAAGGAAAATCAAAACAAACAAAAACCCACCACCAACAAAACAACACACTGCCAAGATGATTACTGACAGATACTCTTCTTGACTAGAGAGTTAAGAAAGGACACAAGTTAACTAGTGATGTTTTTGCTTTAGCTGTCCGATGAGGATTGAGAGGGCTCTTGAAATCCTGTGAGGAGAGCTGTTAACTTGTAAAAAAAAACATTAAAAAAGAAAACACCTTTTTTTTCTGTAAGCTAATCTTTTCTTTAGGAAAGATTCTAGGTTCCTTTTTGATGGGTCAGGCAGAGATGCTGCCATCCAAAAAAGGTCTTATTTTTAAAGCTACATAGTAATAACAAAATTCTCACTTGAAGAAGGATCCTCATAACTTTTTCTTAATGAAAGTTACAAGATTAGCACTAACAGCTTCCAAGATATTAATTCAGTTCTTTTTTCCAGTGATAAAAGTTGCCTGCTTTTTCGTTAGGAACCAGAAAAACACCCCTAAGCAAAAAAACCCTTCTCTTCTACATAGCAGAAAAATCCACACATCAGTCCTCACACAGGAAGGGCACATCCACAGCACCAAAGGTCTTCAGGGAAGAATCATCACACATTTGACTCTGATGTTTCTACTGTCCCCTAGAAGTTTCCAGAAAAGAACTTGGGTTTCTCTTTTGGACAAGAAAGCCCATAGCTCAACACCATGTCCTGTATTTTGGACTCCTCCTTTTTCTTACAAAGCGCAAAGAGCAACAGACCTGCACAAGGTCTGACCATGCCATATTCCAAGTGGCACAAGGGATAAATTACCAACACTGCACAGTAGCTGCAAATCTCCGAGTATAATGGCAAAACATCGCAGGCAGTGCTGGCCAGGGATGTGATTAGAAGGAAATAACATGGAACTTTCTTCTTTTTAATCCCACCAGTAATTAACAGAGATGAAGGAAGCTACTGCTCATGTCAGACAGAAAAGAAACACATGCTACGGGACTGCAGTTCTGGACCAGAGATCTGAAATCAGTCACATCTGACCCCTAGGACAATCCCTACAAAGCAGATGGACATTAAAGGCTTGATAGAGCCGCTCTCCTTTTCTTAACTATGTTCTTTATCTATCTTCTAAGGTTAAAAAGAGAAGGGAAAAAAAAAACCAAAGAATTTTTAAGGGGAGCAGAGGGGCATGACAACATCTGCTCCTCATTTTAGCAGAAAGGCAACTGACTCCTGTGTGTGCTCACTGCAGGAACCTTTTGTGGCCAGAGCTGCCTCTTTCTTCTGATTTATCCATATATCTGTAAATCACCTGTGGAGAGCGAAGAACCGATTAGTATGGATTACTGGAACTATTCACTGCAGAAATGCCAAGCTATCTAATGATGACTTATAATATCAGTCCCGCTGTTGGAATAAATCTGCTGTTCGCCAATTAATGTTGTACAATTCCTATTAAACACATACTATAATTCACAAAATGTATTAATAAGCTTGCTCAAATATCGGACCACAGATGTGGCTCACAGGAGGGCTTTTAAGGTCTGATCTCTGACAACCGCTGAGCCTGCACAGACCCATTAAAATCACTGGAAAATGTATGTGCCAAGCACTACTTAGAATTAAGCTCTTTCAACACTCTCCTGTATTTAGACAGCAATCAACCATCTGTATTTGGACAGGATCAATGCTGATAAATCAAGCAGGGTATCTTACCTTTCCCATCATTATGTATATTACGCTTATTCCATGTACCCACAGCGTATTCTACAAGACATATTTAAACTATTATTTCTTCTCCAAAATAAGTCCTGTACATCGCTTCTGTTCTTTTCCATATTACTGATAAATATGTCCTAAAATTCCTTAAAATAATTCCCCAAAAAATCCATCCAAGCGCAATCTCAGTCTGAAATTTCCCATGGTAGGCTTCAGCAATCCACTATTACACAAATCAACTCAACTTCTTTTTACAGTGGCAAAATACCCAGTCTTAGATTTTACACGTCTCACTATCTCATATTTAAGAACACTTCCATAAAATTATAAAATGGCTGTTCATTCATGTTATTGATGTTCTACATTCTAAAGTCCATTATTCAATCAACTCTGAGGACAAATTTGATACTGTATCCCAACAAAATTGTTCATAGGTCACCAAATATTATCTAAACAGATGCAAGTGAAAGAAGTAACAGCCAGACAGTAACCCTGTAGGCAAGAAAGAAAAAATACCAGTTTAAAAGTTGCTAGAACTAAGCTATTTTGACAAGGCAACATCGGTGACTCAGTTTGAAGGAAACTTCTAGATAAGCTCAATGTACAGTGGAGAACAGCCCAGTTGCCCAAGAGCTGTCAAAAGGCAGACCTGTATAGCCCAAATTTATATATACAGTAAACGCAAACATAACAAGTAAATACAGTCAGTGTGAACTGAGGAGAGAGAAATGCAATGGCTGGTGCATTTGACAATTATTTGTGCTTGTTAATTAAACAAATTTGAAATTAAACAAAGCCTGTTAATTTTGAGCTATTAAAAATAAATGTGTAGGTTTGGGGTGGTGAAGAAAGGTGAGACAGAGTCACCAGTTTTGATGAATTGGGAAAATAGCAATAAACAGTGCTGTTGGGGGAGAAGGAGCTTCCTACGATGTCCTAAAAGATGAACAATTGTAGGGTGACAATTAAAGGGTATTCATTACAGGGTGATGAACAAAGACAATGCTCTCTCACAGTTTAGTACAGTGACAACATTATCCTTGTTTTATATCCTGCTGCCCAAGTTATGTGGCCAGTTGCATTACCATTACACAGGGTATGTGACTGGGGAATCTTTTTCTACACAATTCAGGAATTCTGTAGGATTTCATACCATTGCTGCATCAACAAATGTGTGAAATTAATTACCTGCTAGTAAGACTGATCTCAAATACTTTCAAAACCCACATAAGAAGGTCAAATAAACCACATTAAGATTAGTTACTAAAAGCTCTGGAAAGAGGGAAGTTTTGCAAACCATTGCTTGCAGAATTATGTTTTCTGAATATTTAAGGAGTTTTTCTTGGCAAAGGAGGAGCAGCCCAGGATGAAGGAGCTGAAGAAGGAGAATTCAGGACAAGAAAAGCAGATTGAGGAGAAGCCCAGAACTTTTCAGAAGGCTGGCAAAAGAAAAAAAAGAATCAAAAAGACCTCTGAGTAGAAATGCTACTCAAGTGCTTTTATGCTCTGACTATGAATAACGAATCTGCATGCATAACAAGATATTTTGCATGGTGTCCAAATTCCTATTTCTTTATTTTCATGTAACTGCCAAGGAATTAAGTTGTAAAGTGGAGTATTAACAGGGACAGAGCTATAAACCAATGTTTGTCTAACATTAGGGTGGATGAATTAAGGCTCCTGCACTAAAACATCACTGCTCCACCTCCATGAATGGGCACCAGACCCAGGGCAGCCACCCAAGGAGAGTCTGATCATGCATTTCACCATAGAATTATAGAATAGAATCATAGAATAGGGTTGGAAAGGACCTTATGATCACCTAATTTCACCCCCCCTGCCATGGGCAGGGACGCCTCACACCAGACCATGGTCCCAAAGGCTCTGTCTAACCCAGCCTTGAACACTGCCAGAGATGGAGCATTTACCATTTCTTTGGGCAATCAATTCCAGTGCCTCACCACCCTCACAGTAAAGAACTTCTTCCTTATGCCTAACCTGAACTTCCCCTGTTTAAGTTTGAACCCGTTACCCCTTGTCTTATCACTGCAGTCCCTGATGAAGAGCCAGTAGTTTAAGTTAGTCAAGGTGGGATTACTAACAGAGGATGCTGGTTCTCTACCTTTCCTCCCATCACGTTTATAAGCTTTCCCTCCCACATACAGTGTTTTATCAGTTTTCTGGTTTGGGGGTTGTTTTTAGTTTGTTTGTTTGTTTCATGGGCTAGTTACAAGTTGAATCAGCTCACAATTTGCTAATCAGAGAACCATTAAAGCAAATTATATTGGGAATGCACATGAGGGTGGAAGGGAATGAATTTAGCCCTAAGTCAACTTAGCTGAAGCCAACTGTGAAACGATAACCTGAGAAGTCAGAGATTGCCTACAATCCATTTGATCTCAAAGGAGTTCAGAAGCAGTCCTAAGAGAATTTAAAACTGATATTAAAATATTTTCAAGTTGATTCTAAACTGGAATTTTTCCACGTCCCAATTAAAGGGGAAGAAAGTATTTTGGAATGAATGAAGCATTTTGAAGCTCATAAAATGTTGCAACTTTGTAAATACAAACAATTCATAAAATGTAGAAGTTCCACATTGAAACAGGAAAAATAAAGTCTTCTCCTCTTTGTCTTCTTTCCCCGGAAGCTTTTGTCAAATTAAAGAATTACTTGTTTTCTAGAAGTAGCAACTGTCTAAAATAAACTATCTGGCCAGTAAGATCACTTAGCTTAGCCGGAAAACACATGGACTACGCACCAGACTGCTGAAGAATAGGACAGTGAGGTCAGGAAGTCAGAGACTGGCAAAGAAAACAGGAAACAAAGGTCCACAACACTTGAACTTCAAAACAACTGGAGTGCTTTCATCTTAACTCTACATCCGTATGTGCAGACTACAGAGAAACAGTGCTCTCCAACTGAAATCCTAAATTAGCAAACAGTCACACTCTGTAGTAATACCAGTGTCCAGATGGCCCTACATGTATAAAGCTTCTGAAAATACCTACAGAGCAGCAAAGAAAGTCATATTTTGCACATCATTATATAATCATTTTCACTTCCATGTGACATGCCATCGATCACAGTGCAACTTTTAAAGGAATAAATCCAAGGGATGCTTAGACTGTCACCCCTGCGTTGTTTCACAATACAATCCTGTAAAACGATCAGTTAAGACTGCAATCAAAATGAAGACTAAGAGGAAATGGAAAATAGTAAGCAAAGAAGACCCAGGGATTTACAAGGAAAAACATGTCATTTATTTTAAAAAAATATTCTTTTCTCTTCCTCACCAGAAGGATTTAGTCTTTTTCTACAAGCCTCACAGTTTCAAGAGTGACAGGTAAGTTGAGGGAAGAATAGGAGGAATAACAGGCAAGGCTTTAGTCATGTAAGTGTAAGCAGCAGGAACTTGATTCAGGAAAACATATTCTCAAACTATTAAGATAAAACAGTGTCATGACATACAGAGAAGTTTCTTTTGTTCCTAAGGGCAATGAAAAAAAAAGCAGTTCAACTTTAATTATCCACAGTTAGCCAAGTCAAGGATGATTTAAAACATCTGTTTGCTCTGTCATCTCAACTAGTGTCTTGCTACATACTAAGATTATTTGATCCATTGCTTCAGAAATCTGTCACATCAGACCAGTGTAAACAGCAGGTTGGCTAAAAGCTTTACGTATAAAGCAATTAGACTAGAAGCTCTGGAGTGTACCACAGCCTAACTGCATGCAACAAGAGGAAAGGGTGGCATTTTTCCTTCTAATTCTCCAAGAAGAAAAAGCTCTTCTTGCTGCTTCTTTAAATTCAGTCAACGTTTGTTTTGATTATGGAAAAAGAAAACATCTTTTGCAATATGAATCTTTTCCTGAAGACACATTTGTCTGCTGATAACAGAGTTCAGACATTTACCTGAAGATAAAGAGGTAGGCTTTCCTGAATGGAAGACAGCAAAGCCACAGGCAGCTCTTTGTCCTGCTGGAGCACAGAGTGTGGCAGCAGTAAGCAATCCACAATGCGGAACAAGAGTTGCTGCGCTTTGGAAGTAGCCAGTATTGGTGCCCAGAACTTTACCAGACAACCTGTTGGGAAAAACAAACAAACAATCAACAAAACCAAACCAAACCAAACCAACAAACAAAACCCAAACCAAAACAAACAAAACCCAACCCCCAAAATTGCAAGAAATCCCAAAGCAATTTAAGTCCCATGCACTCATTCCATGGTATTCCTTTAAAAAATCCCAGTCAAGATAACCCAAGTCCATTTACAGTTCAGCAAAATGAAAGTACTAAATTGATGCAATACAAGTTTCCAGGGAAGTGAAGCTGCTGTAGTAATGCTGAAGAAAGGATAGCCTCCCACACCCATGCAGAAAAATTAACTAAACTTGATACATGACACTACTGCAATCAGCACACATGCACTTAAAACATTTACCTTACTGTCTGCGTTCACTGCATTTTTCAGAGTGACACTGCCTCTGCCCTCCCTTCACATTTATCTAACACTGTGGCCATATCAGCAGCTACTCACACAGCAATTCAATGTTAGGAAAACATATATCTTTCAAAATCTCTTTAATGCATCTAATTCAGGAGGCTAAAAAGAATGTGGGGCAGCCAACTCCTTTAAACCAGTATGGTTTCTCCAGACCTTTGTCACTCCTAATTCACAAAATGAGAACCTCAAAGAGCATCTTTCTTGTTTTCAACACATTAACTTCTCACGTATATAGCTCTGAGCTGGTTTTAAGATCGTCCTTTCGAGTTGCAAAAAAAAAAGTAAAAAGACATTGATATGTAAATACCCTAACTTTGATGAATAACTTTAATGCAGGTGAAATATAATTTTTCTTGAGGAAATAACTCTATATATCATATGAGTGTTCATATTCAAAATACAGATTAAATAAAACAAGATTCCTATTAACTTTAGATTTAATTAGAAGCAAGAAAATGTTTGCTGGGTTGGAAATATAGAAGTATCCCAAGAAAATATGCTTAAGACGTTGAAAATAATGAAAGAGCAAAAGTAGTATTTAAGAAAATATGCTTAAGACGTTGAAAATAATGAAAGAGCAAAACTGAGAAGATATTATTAGTCTATAAAAGTCATTCATTACCATCCCTAAAACCAAGGCTAAGCAACATTAATCTTGTGGAGTGAAAGAAAAGACAATGATCAATAATAGAGAAAGAGAACAATCACTTAACAATACTTCCAATAATGTTGTTAAAACTGCCTGCTTTGAAGGAAATGTGCTCATTCCAGCTAGAAGTACTCCTTCTGCTATCACTGCTGTGATGCAGGGGGCAGCAGAAGACGGTCTGAACACAGGAGGGAGGTGTTTAGATTTGATAAATTTCTTGCTCTATCTTTATAATTTAACAAGCCCACAGAAGGCAAAGAAGTAACTGAATTACACCCAATTGGGCTTTTTTTGTCTTTTAAACCTTCATTATGTTTTCATTACTAAAAAGAAAGCCTCGTGATTGTTTCTGGTTTTGTTTAGGGAAACCAGGTAGTTTTCAGTAGTAAAAGACATGAAAACATCTTAAATATTGATTTACAGGAATAATTAAAAACAAAGCAACACAACAAAAAAAACACAAGGAGATTAGATATCAGGATAAAACCCAAAGAAAATCAGTGGAAGAAAATTAAATATCTAACTAACATCTTGGTGACTTTTTTTTAAACCATTAAAGTGGACAGTATATATTATATGTATATAATTATGATATATATAAAAATATAAAAACTCACATTTTATTGATTCTGTAAAACTATTTCCTAACATGGGTTGCAAAATAATTACCTACGATCCAATATGTAAGCTGCAGACCTTCCGGAGGTCCTTTTACTTTCAGGTAAGGTTTTACATTCTTTAATACATCACCTAAATACTCCAGAGTCTTTGCTACCATGGCAGATTTCTCAGGGAGTGTCTGAAGGCTGCTGTAAGTTCTACCAACAGCCTGAGAAAACAAAAACACTGAAATAAATACAAATGAAATCACTACATTTCTTATGAAGTTTGTGTAATTATTTTCTTTCTGTACATGCAAAAATCTGAGAGAAAGTTCCTTTTTACTAAAATTGTCCTGTGAGGCTAACAGAGATATACAGTACCTTAATGAATTGTACAAGAGCATTTTTAGGGTCTTGCTTGAAAACTGACTCTTCTACATGACCCTTTGAAAGAATGTTTTGTACTTCTGAGAGCTTGGAGATCAGTCTTGTCATTTCAGTCAGCTGCTCCGTATAGGCTTTCCCTGGTTGTTACAAGACAGCACAGCAGTAAATACAGCGTACAGTTGTGCTTTCCAATTTATCTTAGTCCCAAAATAATAAAATGAAACATGCTTTCAAAATGTCTAAAATACAAGGATTCTGCAACAGAGTGCACCTCTCTAGACAAAGAATGCGTGTCCAAACTAGTTATTTTTCTAATACAGTTATAAGAGAATTAATAGTTTTAAGTATGGATAACAAAGTCTTTAATTTCACTGATGGCTTTCTTCAAAGTCTACAAAATGTATATGAAAAACAGTCACTGGAAGATGTATTCCACAGATAAACAGAACTGCACTGTTTTATACAAGTGATTAAGTATTGCTCTAAGAAACCAAAATATCCAATACAAAAAAGGGAAGAATTAATTGCAACTGATTTTTTTTCCCTTGTTTTTTCTTTTAGGGCATTCACAGCATGATTTCTGACTATTTACTTCAGATTTTCACTTTTTTCAGAGCAGTTTCTCCATGGGGGGAAATAGCTTGTCTCCTTGGGAGCAAGTTTTTGTTCTTTGCTTCCAAGGAAACAGCTCTTTTATCTTTGTTTGTGATAAATTTGTCATATGCAGAGCAGGCAAACTATCAATAAATAGCACAAGCGGCGAAAAGAAACACATTTTGTAATTAGGTAAAAGTAAAGGAATACAAACAAAAATACATTTTGTAATTAGCTGAAAATGTTTGCCAGTTTTGCAATATAGAATCGCTACTGCAAACATTAGGGAAATGTGAACACTTACCAACTGTTCGCTCAGCATCTGTCTTGGCCAGCATACCACTTGGTTGATCTATGAACATTTGCAAAACGCATCGAAACCAAGAACGTACTGTCAAAGCTTCATAGGATGTATATCCCATACTAGAAAAAGCTTCACACAGTGCACTGCATGGGTAGAAGAGGAAGAAAAAGGTAGAGATCTAACAAAAGTGCCAGAGTGGCTCATTTTGCTGCAGACATACAGAAACAGGGCACAGAAACAATTAGAAATAAAGCAACAGAAAGGCCAACTGGCATTCGTTCTGTGTACTCTACAGACTTTGCTCACAATATCCTGATGCCCAAATACAGAGAACATGATAAATCTGGTAATGCCACACATGGCAATATAAAAGCATATATATATATATACATGCACGTGTTTTTTTGCTACATAAAAACAGAGGGGAAAATTCACATTGGGAAATGCTTATTCTAACAATGGGTAATTTGACAATATGATCTAAACTGACTATGTTGGTGCTGGAAATGGTTATCTGAATCAACCATGAACTTCGTATTGACACTGCTTTAGCTACTCCATCCTTTCAGACAAAGCTAGCTCAGCAAACTAGCTGCATATACTTTCAGTCAAACACAGCCAGGTGTCAGGTTGGAGCCAATGGCACCATGAACACTCAGTGCACAATCCCTGAACTCTACTGTTCAGTATTCCCAAAGCTTTACTTGCCTTTACCACCATGAGCAGCTGCTGTGATCACTTTCTCCAAAGCATACCAGCCCCACATCATTAATTCCACAGAAACCCCTTGATAATGGACAGCAGGTCTGTTCTGCAACCTGATTCCAGTTCCTATTGGACAAGCTCCGTGTGTGCTTCAGGTCAGTGAAATTTCTTCCAAATAGCTACACCTTTCATGTGAGAGATTTCCTCCCTGGTCAGTCCTAAGTGCTTCAACTTTGATGAAAAATGTTTGTACTCTTTTTCTTGATATATGTACATATAAATCTACTTATTTTCTACCAAATCTTTACTCATGCTTGCTTCCAGATGGGAACCAAACAGGATTCTGCTTCTCACATTAATAAAGTTTTTCTTTCTGTTTCATTTTGTTAAAGCCAGTATCAACTGCATATTTTGACTGTACATCCCCGCTGAGGTACTATGGACAAAATAAATAGACCAAATGCAAGCAAATAAAATATAAAAAATGAAAATCAGATTCCAGCACCAAAAAAACAGGATGCCTATGGACTTAATGCTCTTTACAGTAATGTATAAAAAATTCCAGCCTTATGTAATCTTGATGTACACAGCTAGTCTACTTCGCCTCAAAGGCTTACAAAATCATTTCCTGCTGTAGTCTCATCTCTCATTTCTCTTGCTTATTAGTAGGTAAGCCACTCAGGCATCTTTCTAAAACTAGAGAGCAATATGCCCCTAATCCTTAAGAAAGGCAAGAACAACTACTATCTGCCAGAATCATGGCAAATGGTCCTTTTAAACCAGTGAGCTCATACAAATGCCTGCAGTTAGTTTAGACTGGTTATAATACTATCACACATCACACAAGAGATATCTGGAGAGGAACTTCTAGACATAACTGCAAAAGAAATGCCAAAGCTCGTGTGCATATTCCCAAAGCTTTCAGGGTATATAACAGCATCAGCAACAAAATAATCTTTTTACTTTTCAACTGAGAATGTTTGATGTGAAAATTATCAGAGCGCAGTAACAATGAAGTCTTAAGATCCCAGCACTTAGATACTTTGATAACTTTTGCTCTACAACTGCCTAAGGTAAAGAAGTACATGAATCATGCCACAAAAATCTGCCATCTTATTAGCATATAAGAAAATGTCAGTGTTTGAAGTATGATACCTCTGTATAATTCTACAAAAAAAAGTCTTATTTTAGGTACTCATGAGGAAATCCAAGCACCTTACTGCTCTGATGATGAGGTAGGAACATACCTTTGCCTAGTCTCAGATACTTCAGTTTTTAAGGCAACTGATAGGGGAAAGAGACAATTCTCCTTGGGGCTGGACAATCGCGAACCCAACAAAAGGGGCAAAAATATTTGCCTCTGTGTGAGTGCTTTCTGTCCTATGCTTCCAGCAGGGAAGACTTAGAAAAGTAAGTGAGAACATATGAGAGAGAACCAGAAAGAATGAGAACATGCACATATAAGCAAAAGACAAATACCCTCAACTATGGAGCCATGAGTTTTCCTGCTAGTTCTCTCAGCATGGATCCAGGAACCTGACATAGAATCATAGAATCAATTAGGTTGAAAAAGACCTTTAAGATCACATTTTCAGTTACTCCATGGCACAACCTGCCAGAAGAGGGAAAGGGCCTCTTATTCCTTCCTACAGTATTATTTGGAAACAAAGGTTTGAATTCCCTAAGAGCGCAAGACCCACTTAACTTGGGTGTTACAAATGTAATCAAGTAATGTACCCCAGAGAGCTATCTCCAGCACTAACTGCAGTTTTAGATGAAATTATGGCAGCAGGGCTGTATGGGGAACTCAGTACTAGCTACATGTATGTGCTCTGCACTTGTAACGCAATCATGCCCCCCAAACACCTGGGAACAGAATGTTTTGGCCATGGTTCCAAACAAAGTAAATGTTACCTCTGCCAGCATAGCAATATATCTGTGGATACATACATAGGAATAAGTCAGGCGCTTAATCAGTGTTGCTAATGAATACTTAAGTAACTTTAAATCACTTACTTGAGTGTTTACTGGGGGAACTGGTAATTAGACTTAAGAACCTAAATTATACCAAAATTCCAGTTTAGGCATGAAAATGTTTTTCTTGATCTCACTTGAAGAGCAACAAAATTCAAATTGTAAATGGATATTTATATGCTTATCTCCTACTTCATTCAGCACGTGCTAAGTATCAGCAACCTTGCATGAAACTCACCCTACAAAAGATCATACAAGAGAAATACAGCAAATCAAAAGACCGAACACTTCTCTCCTGAGTTCCAAACTAACACATGAGCAACTAAATTCAAACTTTTCACATCTCTCTGCAAGAAGGCCATAGCCTCATCTTTGCCTATCACTTTACTATATCCTGATTTACAGCTTTTCTCCTTAGTACAATACGTACCCTAAAAATGTGCAATATTTTTCACTTTCAAATACAGCCTGACATATAAACACTCTTTCTCTCTCATCTCTCACCTCCCCTGCTTCCAGAGCCTGATTCAGAAGTAGGGTGAGGGGAAAAAAAAAACCAACCCAAAACACCGCAACAACCACTGCCACCACCATACATCTATCTTAGGTTCCTAGAGGCTCACTTCAAGCAAATAAAGTTTCTCACGTATATAAAAGTCTGACTGGACAGCACCCTGGGCAAACTTCTCTAGTTGACTGAAGCAGAAGCTTGCACAGAAGCATTGGACAAATTAGACTATCTGATCTCGAGAATCCCTTCCAACCTGAACAATTCTGTGAGCCTGTGAAAATTCAACATTGGCATGTAAAACACAGAAATGTGATATATTCTCTAAACCTATTATTTAATTTACAGCATCCATTTAGCACATCTCAGAAACCTGAGCTACATGAATATTAATACGCACTCAGAAAGCATTCCAAGCTTGTCAAAAAGAAAGTTTTAATGCATGCATTTCGGCCCAACCTATCCTCCTTGGCTTCCTGCAGAAGTTGTTCGTTTTGAAGAAGTCAAGATATTTAAACACTGAATACTTACTATGTAGCATCTTCAGGTTTCTGTGACAATGTTTATCTTGACGTTTTATGAGAAAATTTAAGTTTTTGTATTAAGCGTGACCCACAAGGGAAAAGCAAGTCCAGCCCTTTAAATTTACCAAGTACAACTTCAACAGCAGCCAGGGCAGGAGGCTACTACCTTGCCACACTGTAACAACTTTGCCCAAGCATAGCAACAGTAGAAGGGGTGGATAACTATAACTATGCAAATTAAAAGAGGTTACTGCTTCAGGCATTTCACTTAAGAGGCACTACCGCTCTTCATGGAAGTACTTCTCTGAAGATACTGTCTAGGTTCCCATTTTCTAGCTCTGTTAGTAACACTGCTGTCTCCACTGGGAAAAAAATAAGTGGTTAGCAATAGAAAACACAAATAACATTTTCAAAATACTCATCTTCCTGACAAATTTTGAGTATCTTTACACATAAAACCCCGAACAGACGAACTAACACAAAACACACCCACTGTTCCCTGTGAAACATCATGGATGATTTCACGAATCCTAGAACTTAAGCAGATGCAAAGAACCTGGACCATCTTAATGAAACACTACTGTTAGAAGCAACATTTTCCACAAGCTTAACGAAGGTACTGGAAGAACAAGTAGTGGCAATTTTTCACCTGTTTTGAATTAGGTGACTTAGATATCTTGACACCAGCTGAGGCCACACCATGTCATCCCATCCAAACAGCTGCATCATTGATAGAACGGGCTGCGGCTGGAGATCTGATAGGGCTTTGCTGGGTATATCCAAAGCTAAGAGAGTAAAACCTGATTTTAAAGAAAGAAAAACATTGTGCCATGTTACTGGTTTCTCAGTACATCCCTGTTCCACTGAAAAGCATTCTAGATTAATTACAATTAAGAATGTGCAGTCTGGAAGTACCAGAAATCTCAATTAAAACTGGGCAACTATTCTAACAGACAGCATTTGTACACATGTTAAAATGTAGTCACTGTCCTGAGGAGCTTGTAAGTCAACATGACACGCGGAATGCAATGGAGAGAAAAGGGATCCAAACATATGCAATTTTAAGTATCTTCAAGAAACCACAGATTATAAATCCAGAAGGCATAGCTCTACCACCAAAGCAACAAAAAATGTCTTAAAAACTTGCTTTTTTTTTTTGTCTTCTTGGCTTCCCTTTCTTGCCTCCATCCAGCATTTCTTCCCTTGTACATATAAGTACTATTGTGCTTTACAAGACTGAGTTTTATTTATTTGCTTTGTTATTTTCATACACTTCTTGCAGTGAAGAACTATACCTGGAAATAATTCACTCAGTAAAAGCTGGTACCTGTCCTATTTTTAGAACACACTTTCATGTATCAGAAGTTACTGTGCAAATAAAGTACTATGGGCGAGCTTATTTGTGAAAAAAGGATCTTCATATAACAGCTGCAGATCTAGAAAGTGGGACAATACTTTGCACAGAGTTTTTGCTAATTTTGCTGTTTCTATTAGCTCTACTATGGGATCTGTATCTAAGACTACCAGAATAAAAGATATAGCACATTCTTTATGCTACAAATGATAAATGCATTTAAGCTCAAGAAGAAAATGTAATCTGAAATGTTGAGCAGTTATTAGGTTATAGGAAATGAGAGGCATTGAATAAGTCAGAAAAAACTGACTTTGGGGGGGGCAATGAAATAAAGGAGCTCACTAGTTCCAACATTCTCCAATTCAAGTTAAATATAAATGTAATATTAATTTATTAAAATAATGATTTCTAAACTTGCATGCATTGGAAAGCTGACTTTGAATTAGATCGAAAAAAACTGGTTTTCAGAAACAACAATGAAGCTATTTTTATTAATAGTATAGGGACAGACTACCTTAAGCTATGAAGGGCTTCACTTTTCCTTATGTACCTCAGAATAAAAAGCGGTAGTACAGAGTCTCCACTCTGCCTTAGGTGAGGAAACAATTTGTGCCAGCCTCCTTCCAGATTATTATTATTGTTTCTGCAGCATCAGCCATGACACGGATAGGGGAGAAACAGGAGACAGAAATGATAATGTCAGTCCCATGCTATTTGCCTGGCAGAGGGAGCCGGAGAGCTGTGACAGCTGCTCTCCTCTGGGCTGCAACCTCTAAGGCAAGAAGCTCATACAGCATGGGAAGGGTTTGCCTTCCTCTGTAGTACTGCCTAACACATCTCTATAAAGAAGGTCACAACTGCACTCCCCTGCTTCTAAGTGGAGTTTATAATAGGTTGTTCTTCTTGCTGTTTCACTGTGCTAATATAAAAAGATATAACACTGTAGGAAATGAATGAAAGTTTTGACATTAACAACCTCTTCCTTTGATTTGTATTGCTGTTTCCCATACATGCTTCACCAGTGTGAGGCCACTACTATTGCACACTGCCTCTTTCATTAATGTTACCTACTAACTACTGCAGAGCTGCTTCAAATGAAGGGTCTTGCCACTTTTCTATTACTAACTCAGTACTTCTGAGCTTGTAGCTTCACCTAATTTATACCATGATGGAAAAAAATACTATATATTTCACTTCCCTAAATTTTAGTTAAATGGATATAAGATTTCATTGTAATGACAGAATACAATGCTAGCTACTGAAGTTAAAGATCAAACAGGTATTTCTTTCTATTCACTACCATGCTAACTCGTTGCATGTGGAGTTCACATAGACATGAAATGTTGTACTCAAGATTAAAATCCTTCAGTGTAAAGCAAGATAAATAATTACAGTTAATTATATTTTCATGACCACGACCGTAAGGGTTCAGGAAAAAAATAAAAGTCAACCTTTTAAAAACAGTCTTAAAATATGAAACATTATTTAAAAAAAAAATAATCACAATGAATAGTTCAACACAAAATTGTAACAAACTATCAAAAAGCTGTAAATTCTAGGTGTAAAGAAGTTATTCTCATTTATATTGTATAATGTTTGCAATGTTGATTATAGCCTATGACTAGTAGTGAAAAAGAACTCAGACTTGAACAGCTTTAAACCCCTTTGGAGTTCTCAATCTGCTTGCATTCTACTAAATAATTCACAGTTACAATATTCCTTCTTGTCAAACTATTTAGCAGAGAATCTACTTTTTGCATTTCTGCAAATTTAAGTTACTACATGGAAGTAGAAATATCCCAAAATACAAAATCCTTGAAAGCCTGTGATCCAGAAATAGACCAAGTCCAGTAAGTCGTAGGGAGGGTCAATGCTAACCTGCAGCTGTATCAGCAAGCTGTGGGGAAGGTGGCATCTGTGACATTCTCTGGCTCTTCAAGTAGGGAAAGAAATTTCTCCAGAGAGCACTGGCGACAGCAAGGTGGTGCTCTTTAGCCACTAATGGAAGCTGTGCGTCTGCAGCCGTAGTCCCTAGTTGAAGTCCCTGGCTTACACGTTTGTGCACACTCCTACAGAGAAACAAAAACAATGTTTACGTTCAATAAGTGAAAATTTCACATCTTTTAAAAGCATATTTACAACTACCTTAAACCCCAGGGCCTGAGAACTGAAGGATCATTTTGTGCAATTAAAACCTTTATGCAAAGACATTATGCATACCAGTTATTTGATGGATGAATGATGGCATATTAAGCACCATAAAGTTAATGTTAATTACTAATGTCAACCATTAATTATATGCTTTTTAATATGTCAGATCAAAATGAGAAATAGGCAGCTTTAAAATGAATATCTGCATTTTGCAACTGCTAGCATGACAAGCAAGTGTGCTGACAATCCAAAGCCAGATGCTTGCTTAAAATTTTTGTCATGGCTTTTAGGATAGGGTTGTGTCCAGTAAATAGTGGCAAATGATTCTGAGTAATTGTACAGCTTTTTTTTCTGAAATCTATTTCTCATTTGTAAAACCTCACTAGGTAGGAGTTTAGATAAAAGATTCACTTTATCGCAATCTGCTGCAATTAGGTTTGACAGCAGTGCCCACATCTTTTTCAGTACAGTAAGGACAAAACTTACCACTACACATAACTCCCATCTCTTCCTGAGACAATATGGCATGAATTCAATAATGCACTCAATTTTCTTTGATTCTTCTAGTACCATTCCTGCTACTTAATCTAATTTGGAAGTTGTGACTTTCTAGAGGTTTAATAGAGATATGTCTGCAGGGAATCAATGTTCTCAGAGAAATGGGGGGGAGAGCACTAATAAATTTGTCTGGTAGAGCAGGATAGGCGGCATTACTGCACCAGGCTGATCAACTAAATAACATGCTTATTAAAAACAATCTGTAGGAACGTACTATCATTCCTGTTCCTATTTATCTTCTGGTCAACTCAATTGAGATTGTGCATTAAAGCACAGGCAGCATTATTACATTTGCTTTATTAAATTCTATAAACGGCACTGTAAAGTCAGAGTCAAGATATTTATAAGATAATGGCAAACAGCAGAGGCATTGAGACTTGCCTTAACACTAACAGTTGTAGACTATTATATTTTCTTTCTTAATTGCTATTCTCACAGTAGCAACTGTTTCACTCTTCCCCCAGATCTTTATTCTGTACTCACCCTAATTTGAAATAAACCAAAACAAAACCAGAAAAAACTCCAGCCACCAGTTTCCTTCTGGGGATCTGGGAAAATTATGAAAGAATTACACAACTCACAGCACTCATTAGGACATTTGAAATGGAATAATTTTAAATAAAGAGTAGGCTGGCTGCAAGGCCTTCCTGAACTAGGGTTGATATTAGAAGCGCATCTCATTATATCAAATTAGTATCCAAAAATCCTGCTAACACATAATTTTAAACATAAAACATACTGGCTGTCAAAGGTAACGATACCTTATGCCTGTCTCCAGGCACTCATTAGTTTCAATAGGACAGACAGAAAGAATTGAGTATCAGCTACTTTTCAAATGGGACATGGAAAGGTATGTAATATCAGGAGGAATCAAGTATTTCTTTGTGAGACAGCGTGAATCCAAACACAGGAACAAAAGCCAGGAATTCTAAACCCAACATTTATTCCCTCTGTGGCTTCACATAAATCATACAGCCTTTGTGAGCCTCAGTTTCCCAGCCATGATATTTGGATAGTAAGGAAGCTTACCCTTTAAGGATGCTGTGAAAACAATCAATGCTTAGAAAGAAACTAAGGATTATATTTAGTATGTCAGTTGGTATTCCTATTTACAAGGCATATTCTCCAAGTCAACATGAACTGAAATAGAAGCAAGATTAGCATTAAAAGTCAGGCAATATTCTTTGGGAGTATCCCTTATTACAAAAAGCACAAAGGGAAGAGTGTAGAAAAAGTGAGCTAGGTCTAGAGGAGAATGCAAAAAGTAAAAGCAGGGCTAAAGAAGCAAGTTAGAAATATATTTTTGTCTATTACCAAAAAAAGTTTGATAGCAAAACCAAAGGGCTCTTCTGTTTTACTTTAAGAATGTGTAAAGAATAAAACTTCTGGGAACAGAATCTGCCCTTACAGCCAGACTAGGCTGTAAAATTGCACAAAGACCTTTTTCTCCCCTCTAAATTGCCTCTCCAAAGACGAGTGTCTTCCATCTCCTTTAGCCATCTATGCAAAGTAGAAGGGTGTACAGACTTCCAAAGTAAGGTAATATATCTCTGTGTCAGTGGAAGGGCAACTCATACAAATCAGTATTTATCTTTATTCATAGTAACCTACACAAATGCTTGAAATAAGGTAAATGCTTAGAATCGATGAGGCATCAATATATGCTGCAGCTGATGTAGCCAGCTACTTCTACCAACAAGCAAACTTTTTCATTCAATAAAAATATGGATAAATAAAATTTTACATTTTATGTAGGCTTCCATCATACCATCAAACATCATTTCTGAAACTATACATCTACTTTTCCATTGTGTTAAGAGCTTTGGAACCACCAGTTGCCTTGTTCTAATGGCAGTAAGTTGGTGTGATCTTTACTTGCTTTAAACCACAATTTTCCTATTTCTGTAAAAAGAGGTGTGCATTTTCATTTTGCCATCAGTTCAAATAAACCCTGGGTTTATTAAAGAAGGGAATATTTGTGCTACCTGAATGAGGACTGTGCTGGATGTGTAGGTATAGCAGTAACATGAGGGGTTATTTTCTACACCCTACACCTAAGGAATTGCAGCCATTTATCTGGTTGCAGGTATTGAAATCATAAACCATGCTTTTACAATCATAAACCATGATTTTGCAAGCCTGGATTACTAAAATGGAGTGAAACTTTAGGTCAAGATGAAAAAGTAAAACACATAAAATGCAGAAGCCTGCCTACATAATGGAAACTGAAGTCACTATTAGTCTATAATCTGCACTGGCTCCATACTGGCATCCAGACTTAGTATAATGTAATTTAATTTGATCTACAAGGGTTCAGAACTCCTCAGCATGAGAAAAGACCTCTCTCTTCCTACCAGCATTGCTAGGGACACATACTACAAGGGCTCCCAAATACAACTGGGTTTGCTGTTTTTTTTTTTTCCTTCCTAGTAGCTGGTGCAGTGCTGTTTTGGCTTTAGTCTGAGAGCAATGCTGATAACGCACACCAGTGTTTTAGTTGTTGCTAAGTAGCACTTACCCTGATCAAGGACTTTTCAGTCTCATGCTCTGTCAGTGAGGAGGGCACAAGAAGCCAGGAGGAAGCAGAGACAGGACACCTGACCCAAACTAGCCAAAGGGGAATTCCATACCACAGCATGTCATGACTGGGGGAGTCACTCAGAAGGCCAGATCGCTGCTTGGGTCGGGCTGGGTATCAGTGGTGACCAGTTGTATTGTGCATGACTTGTGTTTTCTGAGCTTTCATTTCTTCTTTTGTTGTTTCCTATTATTATAATATTGGCATTCTTTCTATTATCACTATATTTTACTTTTAGTTATTAAATTGTTTTTATCTCAACCCACGGGGTTTAAGTTCTTTCAATTCTCCTTATCCAGCCCAGGAGGGGGAAAGGAGGAGGATGGTGGGGTGGTGGTGAGTGAATGGCTGTGTGGTGCTGAGTTACAGGCTGAGTTTAAACCATGACACCAGTATAGCCAAGATTAAGATCAGGAAAGTCTTCTTAAAGCACCTGAATGATCTTTTGATGTTGAAGCAAATAAATAATTAAAAAATAACACCTGCAGGACCAACACCCCTGGATAAATCTTGGGAGACTGAGTAGAGATATATGAGTGTTTCTGAAATGATAAATGGCCTTGATGCTTAGAATTTCAACTACTAACATCTGTTCTTTCAAGGTAAACTCAGGCAAAGTGAAATGAAACCAAGCGTCATCTCACTAAAAGACAGGTAATAGGGGCTTTGCGCTCTCTGCAGATGAATGGAAGTTGAATAATACTTGAGTTTGAAGATTCTCCTTTCAAACATTTCTACTCTTTCTGCATTACTGTAAGATTATCAGTGCTGTTTCTCATTTTGATATTTTGGCAGCAAATGCTTTGTGCCTTGGTCCTATTTTTAACGTTGCCACAGAGGTGGTAACTGCAACAGAAGTGACTGCACGAACTTGAGGCTTCTTCAGCTGTGGGGAGCTTTGAAGATTTCAGCACAGGGAACTGAAGAGATGCAGAGATTAACTGACACAAAGAACAATAAAGTGACAGTTCTGATTACAGCAAAGATGACAGAAGAGCTTTACATTTTCTCAACAAGCCCCAGACCCAGAAGTGATGTCAGCTACTTGGAAATGTACACAACAATAAAGTTATCAGCTTAAGCTCTCCCCAAAATCAAACCCCACATTAACATAATGAAAAGCGTATTTGTTTCTGCTGAAAAGATTAGGATTAGCAAGTTACACAGTAAACATGGCATTAAAATAAAATCCAGAAGTGCCAGTTGACATTGCTCTGTTTCATAAGGAAAGGTGTTTCTGCTTCCCTTTCCCACACACAAAATCCCTGAAAAAAACACTATTGCACAGCAAAAGATCGGGCTTTCCTGTAGGAATCTATCTAGTCATATTTTCTGTGGTTGTATAAATCTCACTGCAGTGATGCACTCAAAATTTATGCCTCCTACCAGTGTGAAACTAGATCTCTGCTAGACAGCAGTCCACTCAGCTTCAGTGACCAAACGGTATCTACCGAGCAGCAATTCAGAAATTAGTTCAAAGTTACTCACCCAATTTCATTTTCTTCAAATGCCATAAAATTCTGTACTTCTTTAATACTGCTACTCAATTCTTTTCATTCCATCAGAATTGTTATCCTTACAGCAACCAGAACTGGAAGGGAGGCTTTGGCAGAAGCCACATACATTTCCAGTAACAAGTCCTATCCAAGCTTAAGATGAAAAAGATCCCTGCGTGCCCTCTATATGCCTTTGTAAATAATCCAGTATGGACATTCAACTAGTTGACTATTATGCCATTTAGTTACATGATAGTTATAGAAATTTGCAACTATAGCACTTACT